ACTGATACCTACATCACATGGCACTCTTTCACCTGGAGGGAGGACATAAAAGCCTGAATTTTGCCTGAAACTCTCAGACTGAAGAAGTCTCTTGGAAGAGAGACGAAACGTTTCATTAAAGAAGAACCCGTCCAGAGGACCTATACAATTTTTTTTTCCTATGTAACACTGGTGTTTACACTTAAATTAAAAAAATATTTGACCAAAGGAAAACCGAAGTTGGACTAGAGAGAGATGAATATGATAGATTTTTATTTCTGTGACTGTACGACCCACAGGAGACACGACAGTAACAGCAGGCATCATTTCATTCCTCTGCTAAAAATGACAGATTATTTTTTCCAGATCTCTGAGAGCAGGACTTCAATCTCTGAACTCGTGAAGTTCTTCTTTTTTACTTTGCGATGTCATTTATAAATGGACACTTCCTGGTATGTGGGACAGGAAACGTAGCCTTATATGGTGTTTTTAGGGTGGTAGATTATGCTAATCTCCTCTCCTCGTGAGCAAGCACCTGACATGCATTCATCAGTTTACGCAGCTCATTTACACACTTTTCCTGAAAATAGAAGAGTTTGTTGAATCTGATGTGGCGTGTACGTATGAGCCCTTTGTACGAACAAAAGTACGAGAAATTTAGGATAAGAATATGAACATGTTCTTGCATGAGGTCCAATACTTCTTGGCAATAAATCTTATGTCAGGCACCTGATTGGCAGCACCTGGGTGTACCAGAATGTCAATGGCAACAAAATAAGCTCACCCCCCAAATGCATGTTCCTTACAAATGTGGCACATTTTAAAAGAGAAATTAACAGCCTTTAAAACATTATAATATTTATTGCCAAAAAGCATTGTTACAACAAAGAAACCATCTACCAAATAATGTGTTTTTCATAATATTGTCCTCTAATCAGGAACAGTTATTACCTGACAATTTTAGTTTACCAGTTTTATATGATTGATCTAAAAAAAAAAGAAAAAATATCAACCTCCTGTTAGAATTTTTTTTAACAGCTAGTTGTGGTGTGAAAACTTACGAGTAAGTCATAAAGAGCAAACTTGCACACGTAACCACACACCATCAGGCCGGTTGTTGGGGTTTTTAAACAAACTTTTTTATTTAGCAGTAACGGATTATAGTTTTCAAAAACACACCAGCTTTAATGAATTAAATGTACATGTAATGGTTGTTATTTCTGAGAATTAATTAATCCCTTTACTGCCCATTACTGCTGTGAGACTGGGAGACAACAAAAGGTAAAGAAAGCTGGTCTTAACAGCAGTTTTCACTGTTGACAGCTTTTGCCTTTTTAATCCTTCATAATAAGAGAGAATTAAGCTGCAGTTATGTGTGTGGATAAAGTATTAAAGGGGTATTTTATAATGATAAATAATTATTTTTGCTAATCTTAAATATTCAACATTAAAAATTAGCATATTTCACATTAAGATACAAACACAGGCAGCAAATGCCAGCAGAGTTATGCACCTTTCATCGTGTTTTTGACAAAAATTATTAAGTCAAATTATGTCCAGCCAGAGTTTGTGTAAATAAAGTATGTGATTGAGGAAGGAAATACACAGCATTTTGTGTGTATGTGTGTGTGTATATACATACACAATAATAATCAGTGTATAGTTAGTAAGTGCAAAGAAAGTTTCCTATTTCAGTCCCATTCAATCAAAGATCTGTTGTCCTCTTCACAGCAGGTTATTTCTTGCAGTATGTTCAGTCACCACTGGGTGGCAGTATAAGCAAGTCAATACACAACAAATGCACAAACTCAAACGAGTTTCCATGAGCCCTTTTGCGTTACAAATATTTGGAGGGCAGTTGGTAGGTAGCTACCTTGTAGTAGCAACAAGCCAGTGTTACATAATGTTGATCAGCTTTTCCCACACTCAGAGTATGGATTATGTCATCAGCAAGCTGCTAGTAGTCATCCTCAGCTGAGCAGTGTGATATTATTAGCTGGAGGTAGATTAATTTTTCATTGTTTTTCAGTGGGAAGAGTTCACAAGTAAACAGCAGAAAGCAGCTTTGTTTCCACAGTTGTAACACCAATTGTCACAAAAAAAGGTCCACATCTCAGATGGTTTTTTTTTTCTGCTGGTAGAAAGCAGTGTGGAGAGTGCCGAACAGCTTCGTCTTGCCTTGCACACGGCCACTTTTTATTTGTGCGCACACTGCAGCACTGTGGAGGTGTGTGTTTGTGCATGTGTGAGAGTGGAACAGGTTTTTTTGTGTGCCTGAGTGATGGTGCGATGATGGTGACTCATTGCTGAATTTGTGTGTGTATGTGTGTATGATAGTGTGAAAGGAGAGACGTACCGCAGCACATAACGAACCATAACAAAGATACAGATTCCAAAACTGCGAGGATGGCAAATCTGGTCTGATCTCAGACTGCAAAACTAGAAAAACCAAAGAGTTACCAGGGTTCAACGTGAATAATGACACAAAACACTGAAAGGCATCCTAAGACTATAATGATTTGAGTCAGTAGTTAATGCTCTTATGCTCCACCTGCTGCGTTGTGTTGACCTTGTGGTTTGTCTGTTTTCCAGCATTTAGATCGGTCTTACCCAGATCCAAGTCCAGCTCCAGCAGAGACAAGGACATGCAGGTTACCGTAAGTTCACAAAGCACCATATGCTCCTCTTAACAAGATTTAATGAAATATTTGAAAACTTATAGAGACACACCTTTACTTATTAATATACAGTATGTTTGCCTTTGTAAACTGATAATTTGAAGTTTTGCTTTTCAGCAAGACAAATATTATTTATACTACTAATATATTTCTATAAAGAGTGTAACATAGTGTTGTACTGTAATGATTAGGGACAGGTGTTTGGGACAAGTACAGTGACCTGATGATGACCACAAGTGATTGCTTCCGAAGAGATCAAATATTTTTTGTTTTAAATCAGCATATTTCAAACAATCACTACAGAAAACAAGCAGAGAATGATTTTGACTATTTTTATTAATATCAGCTGTGATTTCTCTCATTGCATCAATCTCATTGTCTTTATTAGATATTTTCCACTTTGGGAAATGTTTTTCACTTCTGTAATCTTAAGCTCTCCCAGAAAGGTCTGTTTTTTTTTAAAGCCAAAACAACACATTTAAAAATGCAAACTTTGCTTCCAGATAATATGATGATACTTTTTGTGATTGACCACATGATTGCAGGCAAAACAACAGCATAAGGCAATCTAAAACAGATTGTTAGTGTTTATTCATGTTGAGACTGACTTTCTGTCAGGCTCACTGCAGAGATAAGGCTCCAACTGAGAATTATCATGTTCAAATTGTCCAAAAGCTTTGAAAAATGCAGTTTTTTAAATTAATAAAATTATATGCTTGTTAGTTTTTTTCTCCTTTTAATACTCAGTTTACTAACCAGCACAGTTTTTTTTTTTTACTGTTTTTGTTCATCAAACATGAGTCTGGATCACAGAGAGTTTTAGCTGTAATGTAAACAGCTCAGGTGCTGCAGAAAAGGCTGACATCAAACGATCTGGTGCGTTTCTTGCCTGACCGAAGCACAGCGTGGATCAGAGCAGCACGTGACGAACTGCAGCTGGTTTCTGATGCAGTGAAACTCAAATTATACAGAGAAGGGTTGGCTGTGAGAGAACTGCTCCTTGTTTCTTCCTTTTTTTATCCAAACCATACAAATACATGACTAAACTACATTTTTCATTTTAAAAGCTTCACTTTTTTTATTCTGGTTCAAATCTAGTAAAATGTCAAACATCAGATGTGGAAATTTGTCCCTGAGAAACAAAAAATTGAAACATTTTTTAACTCAAATAAGTTTGAACATGGTTATTTAGCAGACATCACTTCTCGTTTCCACTCCCTGTCTTGTTCTGGTTTTTATAATTAGTCTTTTGTTTTTCCTTTACTGCTTTAAATGAACAATGTTTTTACACATTTTCTATTTTAAAACCCTGTACTTCTCCACTTTAATTTTGATATTTCTCAGTCTGTTTTTTATTTAGCTATTTTTGACATCAACATATGTGTCATTAATGCAAATGTTTTTACACTAATTCATATTTCTAACAGGATATTTGGTGAAACTGTGTTCCTAATTGTAACAAACTGTAAAAATACCTCCATTTGTTTTAGGCCTGCACAAATATATGACTGAAGAGATGTATACTGTGTATTTAATATACTGCATAGTTCTACAGACATAGACCAGGCAAGGTGCTGTTATTAGAACTAACGTTGGGTTCAATGTTTTGTCCAAAGTCAGGTCAACATATAGAGAAGCAGAATTGTTCTTTATTAAACTAATGGGAAGTTAATTCTGCTCTCAAGTAGGCAGGCTTCATTTATAAATAAGTTTATGTACTAAATTTGTTTGCTTAATAAAGCAAGGAACCACATTTTTCTAAGATTTAAAACATTACACATTTAGGTAAAAAATGTCTGCATTTCTTAGCAAAGTACAACAATATTTATAACTAATACACTATTTTAGTCACTTCTGTTTTCAGTAATGTAAAATATTAGATTTTAGATGTAAATACTTCCTCCAGCTGTGAAAAACATAGGACTATTTTACTTAAAATAGTGCTTAGTTTTGTTTCAGATTCTGAGAAAATAATATCTGGAAAATATGTTTCTCCAAAATGATTGCCATATAAAGGTACAGGTCTTCCATTTTAAATACAATTAATGTGGACAAATATTTAAGTGTATTATTTATTAAGTCTGAAAAAACAAGTTTTTCTATATTTTCTATTATAACTAATTTTCATTCTTTTTAAAAACAAATCAAGATTCTAATAGGAACTCTGAATTAATTTATAGTTTGTTTTGTAACTACAGTATATCTCACAAATATGATATACTGTTTGTTTTCTATTTTACTAGTAAACTAGTTGCAGTTTTTTGTGTCAATAAGTATAGGTGACCTACACAAAGTCGAAGTATTTAACTCATGGAGGTAGATTTAATAGTAGAATGGAAATGGGGCTTTTAAGGGCAAATATCAAATCTGAGAAAACATTAAAATCAGCAGTTCAGTCATTTGAAATTTTAGCTCAGATTTTGTTAAAAGGCTCATGAGAAGCTGCAGGTTTTAAAGTATTTCTTAAAAAATAATGAGATAAGTGGTTTGGAGGAGATATTGAGTGTTTAATATGCATATGCTTGGTCCTCACAAACTCTGACTTTATATAGCAGTCAGAAGAAGTTTTGATGCGATTCATGGAAAAAACAAATCCAACAGCATTGAAATCTTAAATATGCTTTCCTAAAAAGAGGAGTACACCGTTAGCTCTGAAACAAAGGAAGGCCTGAAAAACTGCTAAAGGACAGCTTCTGTAAATAGATAGAAATATGCTTTCTCCGTTAAAATAATAATAAAAGAAAACTTCAAAACATCTATCCAGCTCGGGAGCACTCATGAGGAGGAGGATCATTAAAAAATGTGCAATCAGAGCATGGCTTCATGGTGGCAGCATGCAGAACTGGAAGAAAACTATTTGGACAGATGGAGCCAAGATGAACCTACATCAGAATCATGGAAGAAGAAGAGTGGGAAGAAAAAAAAGACTCATAATTCAAATTATGCAGTACATGAACATAATATAGATCATTACAGCAGGGCTGCGTTAAGGAGGTGAACATTAGGCAACAAAATGTATTCCCTTTGTTTTTCTTCACTTTAATTTCCGCTCAGAATCAGTGAAATGGTGCAAAGCTGAGAGAAGGGCACCTTTCCTGAAGAGAAACAACACAAAAACAGAAGTCTGCAAATCTGAAAGTAGAATTTCTCACAGGGAGCCTTGTGCAGATTTCACTTTTTGCTTCTGTTGAAGTCCAGAGATGAATGAGATGTAAAAACCTCACAGAGCGGCTCAGGTTGCAAAATATCAGCACTTGATGTTTGTGAGTTTCAGACCTAAACGGCTTCGTTAGAAGGTGCTCTGCCACTAATGTGAAATGGAAATTGTTTATTATTTAAATCAAACTTAATGGAAGATGAAGTTGATGTCTCTGAGTTCTGCTGCTATGAGTGAACTCAGGGTGGTGGATGTTGGTGGGATGCAAAAGAAGGAAGGAAAACACCAAGTTTAAATTGAGGGACTGAATAAAAAAGAGTGGGATGGTAGCAGTGGGTAGGCTAGGCTTCTTTAAAAAACTTTATTTATAAGTAATAAATTCAGTTTTGTTTAAATGTGTATGATGAAATAATTTCTGTATGTTAAAGTACTCAGTCATTGGTTAAAGTTGTGTTTACCTATAAATAATCTGTCTATTTTACTGTTTTCTTAAGGGATGGGGATTATGTATTTCCCAGGCGTTTCTCACAGTTATGAAAATGCTGTATATATATCAAAAATAAATTTGACTTGAATAAAACTCCTTGAAATTGGCCTCTGTCTCTTTAAGAACCTCCTTCCATTTCCAACACTCCCACTTCATCACGTCTTTGGGGAGGGGATGCTCTGTGGGTTGGGAACTCGGGTGCAGACTGCGCTTCAGGGAGGAGCTTTGAACAAATAGGCGGAGCTTTGTACCAGCAAGCTTTTTAGGCAGTTCCACATGTCTCCAGGGGAAATTCAAAGATTTCTCAAACATGCATGAATAAGTCAAAGCAACACTGATATTATAGCATGATGTAAAGATTTTGCATAATAACCTATCCCATAATAAACGTCATGTTCATCTTTGGTTATTACCATGACGTTCATAGTCATAGAGCTGGTGTTCATTCAAATGGGAATAAGTTTGAAATTAAGAAGAAAAAAAATCCAGAATAAACAGATATTTACTTGAAGACAGCAAAAGCGTCCTGTAAACGCAGCACCAGTGCAGCAGGAAGCATCAATACTTATTAGGGGAAATATCTGACTTCTACCAGCTGATTTGTTTTCCTGTAGAAGCTGCAAATCCTCGCCTGTATGAGCCTTTTCATGCAGAAATTGCATGTCTGCTGCATGTTACATCCTTCGTCTGGGTGGTGGGAGAATGTCTGCAGTGTGTCAGGTTTATGTCACTTTTAACTCACCTCATTAGTACATCAGTCTCTATCAGTGCTTGCACACGTTTTTTATTTAACTGCAATTATAACACCGTCCGTCTTGTCTTTTATTCTTGGTTTTAACCCTCTGTTTTTAATTCTTTTTTTTCCTGCAGATTTTTCAGGACAAACGGAACCAAAGCAACGAGGGAGATCACAGAGTGACCAAAAGCAAAGACAGGGAGCGAAGCAGAGATGGGGAGCTCCCTTTAACTGCGAGCCAGACAGCAGCACGAGACAGAGCCATCCAACAGAAGAGGAGAGAGATAGATGAGGTGGGGGGTGGGTGTAATTACCCACACACATGTCTTGGGAGGGGGAATGGTTCTAAACAGAGGAGAAGAGGAGATAAGAGAAGCTGGGATAAGAAAGAGTGACAGGGCGAAGATCTTCGTAAGCGCCAAGAGACAGGGAACAAAAAGATTTGTTTTCTGTAGTATAAACATCAATTTTGAAGTGCTAAGCCTGAGGCAACTCAAGTGTCATTATTGGCTTTTTTTTTGTTATTCTGGCACACAAGGTCTTGTTCTCTGTTTAACATGATTAATGTTTTAATGTTTTTTTTTTCTTTAAATCTTCTATATCTTGGCTCACCTGTCTGACAAGAGCATCTAACACGTGCTTTAATGATGCCTTCAATGTGACAAACATCACATGAGGCTGTGATCATCAACCTTGTGTTTGTGTGAAAGACTGCACTTGCCTTTCCACCCACTTGATGGAGAAGATGCTTTTGCTTCCTCCTTTTCTCATATCTCCATGGTTGCAGGAGTATAAAAGCACTGCAAGATAAAGGAGTGGCAAATGGCTGCTGATGCAAAAAAAAAAAAAGTCGCAGCACCTGATAACACTTGTCTGCATGCGAGCTTTGCTAAAGATTACTAATTCGCTCAGGTGAATTACTTGACAAGATTTCTCATCTATTTTTTTTCTCTTTTATACCCAGCACTTCCACTGGTGCTTGTATCTGTCCTGTTATACTTTGTCCTCATGTCTTAAAGCTGTGATTATGTTTGTCTTGCAGGTGTACTACCAGGAATGTGAAATGTTCGGTTTTGTAGCAAAGATGCTGATTGCAAAGGATCCATCCCTGGAGTGTTCCATCCAGTCCTCGCTGCAGGAGAACCTCCGGGACATTGGCAGGCGCTGCATTGAGGCCATGGAGAAATTCATCCAGGAATATGACTCCAGAGAGCTGTTGCACTAATTGTTTGAAATGGTTTTTGAAGATTTAAAAACAGTACTCATGTTTAATTGTGAACTGCTTTTTGTACTTGATATTTTTATATGCACTGCTGACAAAACTGCACTCTGTTCTCAATCCCTTGTTTTCTACTTAGTGACACTGGTCTAACATAAAACTGAAGAGTTAAGAATATCGTGATGATACTGGAAGAAGTACACTGGTTATATTGCTTTTGATTATGTTTAGCTTAATTTATTTTTCTTTATGTTTAATTATACTTTTCTTATAATAAAAACAAACAACAATGGCATAGTCTCAAATATTGTCAGTAATTCATTCATGATTAAAACTAGACACCGCAAAGCGGTAACATAATGACCCCCGCACGCACAAATGCACCAGAACTCCAAAGTCTTTATTCCTAATGAATGTCATGCTAGGTGCATCCCAAAGTTGTAGTGGCTTGCGTGGGGGGGTCTGGGTTTTTT